AAGCAGCCAAGAAGCTGCGGCTGGTCTCACCGGCACCAGCTTCCCATGTGGTGGAGGGAGAGCATGCGTGAGCCGCAGGCAGCATTTGGAACGCCTGTGCTAGCAGGGGTCCTAGGTGCTGCATTTCACAGATATTAACCTGGATGGCTAACCACAGGCTATCCCTGGAAGAGGGGGAAAAGGAAGAGAGTGCTGGAAGCCAAGCTAGAAGGACTCCCCGCGCACGATACTCCGCCAGCGCTTCTCAAGAGCGACAGAGAGCTCCGAGCTGCCGATGCACTCCGCATTTCCGCACATGCCCTCGCTGGCGACCACCACAATCCGCCAGCAGCCTCCCTGCACGGCCGCGAGGCCCCACATGCCGCTGCGGCCCCCAAGGAGCACTCTGGGGTGGGGCTCTTTCCCAGTGCGAGGCATTCTGGGGCACAGGGCCATTCCCGGGGGGCCCTCCGTGGGCTGTGGCGAGGGAGGCGAGAGGAGAAGAGGGCCACAGGGCCAGCCCTGCTGAAGCCCGCCTCTCCTCCTCCTCACCCCCACCGTCCTCCTTTCCTTGTCTGTCCTCTACTTTTAGATTGTGGCAGGAACCATCCCGGCTAACAGATGATTTGCAGCCTCCAGTGGCTCTTCTGGCTTGTTGCTTTACGCAAACGCATGCATTGCAGCAAGGAGCCGTGAGAACTCCAGCTTCCATGAGCCCCCTCCCAGGGTCTGTTCTGCCTCTACTGTTCCTCATGGCTGGCACAGCCCGCCCCACCTGCTCCAGCCTTCCGAACAGAGGGCTCAACTCTCACGGAGGGCTCACGGAGGTGGCAAAAATGGTCTCTGAGTGGCACTTCTTCAGACCACAGGTGGGGATGCCCCTGGCAGCACATCCTTCCACAGACATGTTTTAAATCCAGCATGATCCCTGGGGACCTTCTGGTGGGAAGCGGAAGATTCGAAGGACAAACAGGGCCTTTTTCAAGAGGAGTCCCTGGAAGAACCTCCACAGTCCCGAAAAAGCCTAAAGCTACAAAATGGGTCAAGGCCTTTTAACAGTCCAGCTGTCTCCTCCTGGAAGGGCAGAGCAGACCACACTGCAGCCCCGGGCAGCCAACCAGGGGCTTCTCTCGGCCTTACCTCTCAGCTGAGACAACAGCCTCCTGTTCTCCTAGCACATGGGTCCTCAAACTATGGCCTGTGGGCCAGATCCGGCCCGCCATGCCCATTTATCCAGCCTGCCATAGAGGTTTTGGACTCAACTCACCATGCGCACATGGCAAGCTGGCGCCTTGCCGCGCTTGCCCCCCCCCCCCCCCGCCCACACTGGCTTGGCGGCCCGCGCCCATCGCCGGCACCTTTCGACTGGCCCCTGTTGAAAGAGTCTGAGGACCCCTCTCCGAGCAGGCCAAGGTTCCAACCAGCAGGAACAGTGTGCAGCTATCACAGGTCCGACTTTCACGCCACCCTGCTCTGCCCACAGCTTCCCATGAGCCTCCAGGTCCCACGACATGGAACATGTTCCTAGAGGACTGTTATCTCAGCAAGCCAGTTTTGGCCTGGCTTCACCACGGCTGTTTCCCATGCAATGAACGTCGCAGGGGGACCCATCGGGGGGAACGCCTGGCTGGAGAAGCCTTCACCAGCCCCTGCGTCGGTCCGCATGGAGACTACATTTATTTATTTAAAACATTTCGATGCCGCCCCCATCGCAACAAAGCCCCGGGGCGGCTCACAACAAAAACCAAACAAACAAACTTACAGGATCAAGGCCTGGCTCTCTCCTTCCCTCTCCTGAGCAGCCATCCCTTTGCAGCCCCCTGGAACCACATACCCACCCGAGGCGATTAGACCGGTGTAAGGGGAGACAGTTTCTCTGCTGGTGAGTCTGGGGGGGGGATGCTTCCCACCCTGTCCTCCGATGTGGCCATGCTGATGGAGGGCTGTTAGCGCCACTGTGTCAACAGTGCCCAGCTCCCCCCAGCCTGGATGGTGACCTCCTGAATTCTTGACCACTGGCCATGCTGGCTGGGGTGAATGGGAGATGGTGTGTATCATTTGGAGGGCCTCTGATTGGGAACCACCTTCTGGAAGCTGCCTTCCAGGAAAGTTGGGGCAACCCCACCCCCCCAGGACAGGCTGATGGGATCTGAGCCACCAAGTCACTGGGCAAGGAAGGGACTTTCAGGTTGGTGAAAGCGTTGGCCCAGCAGGTGCGCTCCACGCTAGGCATAATCAGGAGAGGAACTGCGAATAGAACGGCCAATACCGTTCTCCCCACATACAAGTCTTTGGTGCGACTGCACACAGAATACTGTGTACGGGTTTGCAAAGGACACAACTGCGTGGGGAAAAGAGCAGCACCCTAAGTAGTCACGAGCTGAGCAGGACGGGGCATCTTGGAGGGTCACGTGTGTGAGAAACAACCTGGTGGCGCATTTCAGTAACAACGTTTTGGCTAGTTTTACTAAACGTGAGGCACGAATATACTAGATCGGCTGGCCTAAGGCAAACGATCTGGGGTTCCACGCTTCCTGAAAGCTTCCATCGCTGCGGCTGGAATGATACCAGGCCACCCCGTGGCAGCACTCGCCCTGCCAAACTGCCTGCAAGCCACCCTCTGCGTCCTCCCACCCGCCGCCGTTGCCTGATAAACGCGCCATGATGCAGAATGGGAAACGGGCTCTGGCGGGTGGGCAGGGCAGATACCCGTGGGCACACTTCCACCTCCAGCAGCCAGTCCAAGGGCCCCCTGGGGCGAGAGACGGGGAGCATCCTGGGCTCCCAAGAGATCGCCGCAAGTGGCTTTCTCCAGCATCCTGCCAGATGCCACCCAGAGCAATCTGCGCACTGGGAGTGGCCTGGTAGGATCAGGCCCACGCATTCAGCGTCGGGATCTCAGCAGATACTTGTGGGAAACACACAAGTCGCGACCGTCTGCCAACGTGCCCAGGGTAGACTGCACCTGCCCAAAGGGGTTTCGGGCAGTGCCTGAAGTGCTGAACGGGGAACCAACCGGGGGAATCAAAGCTCAAGCCCCCAGCTGGCCATGCAGCTCGCTGGGTGGCTTCCTGCCAGTGACTCCCTCTCAGCCTAGCCTACCTCACAGGGTTGTCGTAAGGACAAAAGGCACTCTGAGTGCCTCACAAGAGGAGAAGCGGGAGGGTGCCAGTGCGGCAGCAGCAGTGAGGAGCCTCCCGTGAGTAAGTGCCTCTCCCGCGCCCCAGCTGGGCCTCGCCCCCATTCCTCCCGCAGGACCTCGCTTGCCCTCCCCCAGCTCCCCCAAGCAGTCACGCCGCCTGCCTCCGAGCCCTTCGGCTTCCCACGCGAGGGCTCTCCCTGCCTCAGCAAAGAGCACCGTCTCCCGCCCACGCCTCCCGCCCTTTGGCGGGTTCCACGACGGTCGATTCCCGAGATCCACCAGACGTGGGGAAACTGCCACATTGCCTTGCCAGGCCTCTGGAAGGGACTGAGAAGGGGCGTGGGGGGCAAACCAGCCCACGGCCCTGGAAGCGAGGACTGCCACACCAGGGGGCACACCGGTGCGGGCCTGGAAGTGCTCCGCCACAGGTGCGACCCCTTTGCACAGCGCGGCAGTCGAAGCGGCCACCACTGCACTCTCCTCGGGTGCAGCCCGTCCCTCCCAGGGGGTTGCAATCCTTCCCCAGGGCCCCTCACCTCGACTCCTGCCCGGAGTGCTCTGCTCCGGAGGCAGGCGTGTCCGTACCACGTGCTCTGCCCAGGCGCCATCCATCTCCTTCTCTCCTGCCCGGGGAGGAACACCGTGCTCCCCGGGTGAAACCCTTTGGGGACAGCAGGAGCCCAACGCTTGCGGCCTCCCACTCATCCCAGGGCCTTGCCCCAGGCCCTGCACGCACTCGGCAGGCCTTGTTTGCCCGCGCACAACTGTGGAATGGCGGGCACCTCTGCAGCCACCGCACCGGCCCCAAAACGCCATGCTGAGCAAGCACTGGCTCTCCTCTAGCTTCAAAAGACTATTCCCTGCGAGGGAATCCTGGGTCGCCACAGGCGAGCAGGCAAGAGGCTACTTGCAACTTGGCGCTTCTCATGTGACCAGGCCTGGGCTTGGTAGTCTTTGAACAGGTCTGGTCTCCAAATGGCCTTGGGAAATGGGCCTGCTAGGGGTGTCTTTGTGGGACGAGAGAGAACACAGCTCAGGATGCGCCCTGAGGAAGACTTTATTCCAAGTTCCCCAGAAGACCTACTGCGGGGGGGGGGGGGTTCCTCGCTTTGTTATGCACAATATCTGGCATATAAATATTTTAAGCAAGTAAGTAAATACATATCTGGCAATTTGAGGCGGGGGAGTAACGTGCAGCAACTGCCCCTGAAACCCACCAGGCCAAACCGCCGGAGCGGCGCTGCCCCTCAACAGGCAAAGAGAAACAAAGCCCCCCGAGAGAGCTAGGCTGCGGGCACCGAGGTCTGCGCTGCTTCAGGCGGAACCCCCACAAGGGAACCCCGAGGCTGCAAAACGGCCGAGGGGATGAACGGGCTCCTCGGGCCCCCAGTCTGGCCAGAGTTTCCCCCCTTCCCCAAGGCCGAGATGCCCCTCTGGGGCAGCCGACCCCAGCGCCCTGCAGGCTACAGCTGAGGCTCCTTCAAAAGCACCCCTCCGGCTTCTGACTCGCTCGCTCCCCCGCGAATGTGCCCCACGTCTCCCCAAGAGTAATTCTACCTTCAGACGGACAGAGCCCCCCGCACGGGCCCCGAGGGCCCCACCCAGAGCGCCCCACGGGGCTTCCCGAGGGCGCCGGGAGCAAGCCCTTCCTCGCAGCCGCGCCGGGGACGGCGCCCATGGCCGGCCCCGCCGCCCCGGGGGGCACGACGCCGCTTCCTGGGAGCCCCGCCGGAGCCGGCGGCGAGCCGTGGGGGGCCGCGCGCTCCGCGATCGCAACGGCCGCGCCAGCGGAGCCCTCCCGGGCTCGGCGTGCTGGCGAGAGCCGCCTTTCCGCGCCCCCCCCCCCCGGCCCCGCGAAGCGCCGCTCCCGGGCACTCACCGAAGTACTCCTTCTTCGCGTGCAGCTCCAGCTCCTTCTCCAGCTCCAGCGCCAGCGCCTCCAGCCGCCGCTCCACCTGGCTGGGGCCGCTCTCCCGGCACGGCGTGACCTGGAACGGCACCCTGAACTTGGCGGCCGCCCCCGGGGGGCCGGGCGCCGCCGGGCCCGGGCCCGGGGCG